TCCATTCATTGGACTATGTACCTATATGTGTAGTCAACGATCCATCCATTCATTGAACTACGTACCTGTATGTGTCGTCAACGGTCCATCCATTCATTGGGCTACGTACCTATATGTGTAGTCAACGATCCATCCATTCATTGGAACTACGTACCTATATGTGTCGTCAAAGGTCCATCCATTCATTGAACTACATACCTGTATGTGTAGTCAACGGTCCATCCATTCATTGGACTACGTACCTATATGTGTCGTCAACGGTCCATCCATTCATTGAACTACGTACTTATATGTGTCGTCAACGGTCCATCCATTCATTGGACTACGTACCTATATGTGTCGTCAATGGTCCATCCATTCATTGGACTATGTACCTATATGTGTAGTCAACGATCCATCCATTCATTGAACTACGTACCTATATGTGTCGTCAACGGTCCATCCATTCATTGAACTACGTAGCTATATGTGTCGTCAACGGTCCATCCATTCATTGGGCTACGTACCTATATGTGTAGTCAACGATCCATCCATTCATTGAACTACGTACCTATATATGTCATCAACGGTCCATCCATTCATTGGACTACGTACCTATATGTGTCGTCAACGGTCCATCCATTCATTGAACTACGTGCTTATATGTGTCGTCAACGGTCCATCCATTCATTGGACTACGTACCTATATGTGTCGTCAATGGTCCATCCATTCATTGGACTACGTACCTATATGTGTAGTCAACGATCCATCCATTCATTGAACTACGTACCTATATGTGTCGTCAACGGTCCATCCATTCATTGAACTACGTACCTATATGTGTTGTCAACGGTCCATCCATTCATTGGGCTACGTACCTATATGTGTAGTCAATGATCCATCCATTCATTGAACTACGTACCTATATATGTCATCAACGGTCCATCCATTCATTGGACTACGTTCCTATATGTGTAGTCAACGGTCCATCCATTCATTGGACTACGTACCTGTATGTGTCGTCAACGGTCCATCCATTCATTGGACTACGTACCTATATGTGTAGTCAACGGTCCATCGATTCATTGAACTACGTACCTGTATGTGTCGTCAACGGTCCATCCATTCATTGAACTACGTGCCTATATGTTTCATCAACGGTCCATCCATTCATTGAACTATGTACCTATATGTGTCGTCAATGGTCCATCCATTCATTGAAACTATGTACCTGTATGTGTCGTCAACGGTCCATCCATTCATTGAACTACGTACCTGTATGTGTCGTCAACGGTCCATCCATTCATTGAACTACGTACCTATATGTGTAGTCAACGGTC